ACACACACACACACACACTCTCCGTCTCTCTCGCTCGCGGTCAGACACATAGTCAGACACCGATCCGTCCTCGCTCAGGGTTGTTTCTCTCTCTTGGTCCCACTCTCATAGGTCCATCGTCGTCCACGGACAGCTGTCCTGGCACAGCAAGCTGTTGGAAGTTGGAAAACTTTGGCAGATTGCAAACAGTTTGGGGCTTTACTGTATATATCGTATTGTGAGGCCTCCCTTCTTTTCACCCCCCGTGCTTCTGGAATTGGAGGTGCAAGGCGATGCGGTAGCGATGGCACATCTTCACTTCAGCCTGTCCTGGCCTTTGGCCCCTCGCACAAGAAGCTGTCAGTCGCTGTACTCGCCGCTGCATGTCCTCCCCGCTAAAGCACCACACCAACCTGGGGTTGATGTACCGTGACTGAAGCGCCAAGTGTTGGAGATAGTGTGACTTTTCTGTGTAAGAGAACAGCTTGGGCTGATGCTCGCTGAAGTGTTGGCCAAGCTCCTGCTGAATCAGCAAAAACCCAGTCATTGCATCCCGAAATGCATTGGCATCTGCTTGCCCCAAGGCGACCTCAAACTTGTTCAGCTCCAGCAGCTCCTCCAATTTCCAGTTCAATTTCAAGAGTAGATGGAGCTTTCTGTGAAGTGCGATGCCTGGTGTCATTCGGGCGGCCCATACTTCAAGCAACGGCCTGGCCAGCGATCGCAGTTCCGCAGCCTTGCCTCGTAGGCTCAAACTCTTGGTCTTGGGCCGCCAAAACATTGATATTCGATTCAAATACTGAAAGTGGCCATGGCTGTCAAACTGCTTGTAAAGCCTCTGGATCTCCGCCCACAGCCAAGACATGTTAGCATCAGGGCTGCCAGTCAGCACATGAAAAATCAGCAGATAAAGAATCGAAGAGTACAGGATCCTGTCGAGCCCCAAGTATTTGCAATGCATGTAATCGTACTCCAGATTGCAAACAGAAGTCCACGGCATGTGCAACAGCGGGCACGTGGACTTCTCGGCAGCCGGCAAAGCTTTCCAAGTCGCCGGGGAGTAAAGACTGCTCATCCAATTGGCTGTTGGTCTAAAATCCTGCCAAGACATGTCTCCATATTTCGTCGCCCGGCAGCGAAAGCATGGGGCAGTAGCTGATGTCGACCTCGCCACATCCAGTACTGTGGCAAAATAATCTAAGTCCCCCACCACTGAAAACAGGACTCCGCAGAAGCCCTGAGCTAGCGGTTTCCCCGCTCTTTGTGCTTCGACGGAGGCCGGGTCATACCTAAACTGGCATCAGGTCTGAAAAAACTTCTGCATGNNCAATCCTCACAACACAGTATCTTTACATTGTGTCTGTTTGATTTATCACAAATACTTTGAGACGAAAGACCGACAGGGACACCTCACATCCTGCATATCTAGGACATCGCCCGCACACAACCACATAAAACAGCACATACATACATACATACATA